CCACCGTACTGCATCATTACAAATATAGATAACAAAAGTGCAACCTGCATTTCTCAAGCAACTTATGAGCAGGTAAAGTTTGTAATGATGCAGTACGGTGGAGAGTTGCTGGTGAGCTGTGAAGCATAAGCGACGAATCGAGTCGTGGTGGGTTCAGTGGTAAGGTGAAACGTTCGACTTCCACTCTACTGCACCATTACAAACTTTACCTGCTCATAAGTTGCTTGTGAAATGCAGGTTGCAGTTTTGCTATCTATATTTGTAAATAACCTTATAGACTCTATCGATCTACCCAGGTCTCCATTCAAAGTTCTAGTAAGTTGGCGGACTTCCCTGGTTAGTTGCTCTTCGAACGACGGTAACATTGGATCACTATTGCAACTTTTAAGAAGAAAGAGCTCTGGGTACAAGCTCATCCTATCATAGAATTGGGTATCCCTAAAGTCCGGCAGATAAGTCCATCGTTTGGTATGTTCGCACGACATCGTGGATCGCTGTTCGAGGGCTCAGTGTACGCTAGCGCAGCGAACGTGGCATTGTCTTATCTAATGGCGGGCTTGTCTACCGCACTTGAGCAAAATTATATCCACACATAGCAGATTCGCAGCGATGGAATGAATACATTACTGTGAGTTTATGAAACGCGCAGAATGATCTTCTCGTGTCTGAACTGGTAACACCGTGTCAACCTAAACTGTTAAAGTGTGCACGCTTTGCATCAGAGTGGTTAGGAAAGTGTAGGTATCCCAGCGTTTCGAGCCTACGCTGATGCTGTTGTATGCTCAAGCCGCCCAAGACCCTGACGCCCTCCCAGGGCATTGTTAGTGGCATAAGGATGGCGTACGCCAGCCTGATGTTAGCTGCAAGAACGTTTGTTTTTTTTTCGAAGATGCTTGAGTTTGCTTAAGATCTCAGAACAAAGTTGAGATGACGGCATTTACAATGCTGTGGAGCAACGGCAAGATAGTAATGGGATGAGAAGGGAAAGGATCTGTCCATGCTTCTTTTCAGTAGCTAATGGTAATAGGTGTGTGTATCCAATGTTTGGTAGTCTTGGAAGTGCAGCAACAACTAGTCGACCTTCGAAGAGAGATTTTCGAGCAGTGTAGATTTCGTGAGCTCCACAGCTGGAAAAGATTGTTGTTTTTTTCTATTAAGGAAACCGGTTTGGAAAGACGGTACAACAGTCACATGTGTTCTTTTATTGAACGATGCCTTGTATGTTGCAAATCTTGGAGACAGCAAGGTCAGTTTTTTTTTGTTTTTATTTCTTGAGCGTCAACATTCGGCGCCTATCACTTTACGAATTTTGCTTTGTATTGTTCTCTGAGCTGCTGCTTTCGTTTAGTAATCTTATTCACTTTTCGTACCCATTTCCTATTAAGTCTTCTGTAGCGCATTACACTGTTTTCACGAATTTCCATCTTTATGTCGCTTTTCCATTTCTTCCTCGAGCAGGATGTGGGTATTTTTGGGTGCAGCAGCTGATTGTCTACTTGCTTGGGGGTCAATAAAACAGCGTGTTCGTCTAAACATTAATATTTTATAATATATTAATGTAATATTTTAGATCTAGTTCCATGTAACATCATCACGAGTTGGAAATTCTATTCCAGGCGATTGTATGCCGGGCTAAGGATGGCGGGTTCTCTAACATAGAGCTCACGGTGAACCATAATCCCACCATGTATGAAGAGAGAATGCGCATACAAAAGGCTGGAGGTATAGTGAGGTAAGCGCCATTTTCAGACCTTCATTTCTCAGATCCATTTGCGCTACTATTCAGAGATGGACGTGTGGATGGAATAATTGAGGTGTCACGATCAATTGGTGATGGGCAGTTCAAAACTCACGGAATAACCTGTATACCAGACATGAAAAAACTCACAATCACTGAGAGGGATAGGTTTGTTGTGCATATTGTTATAACAATGTCTGATCTTTTTTCATATGGGAGGTAGTGAAGTGGGCACTGGCTCGCTCACTAGGAGCACGCTGGGGTTAAATCCCGGGGCTCCCACCCAATCTGACCAGAACCTTCCATTAGGCTGCCTTGGGAGTAGTGCAGGTTCTTGGCCTCGATTGTCATTTCTCAGCATTGGGTTATTCCTGTGGCCGCGTTCATACATGATGATGCTGCAAAAATGACGAAATTGTGGAGAAATGTGTACGTATCGATTTGAAGAACCGCGGAATCGGGAGAAATGCGGAACCTGCAGAAGTGCCGAAATGACGGACAAAGATGTGATAGGGTCAATCGCTCGGTTCCTGCCGTCGTGCGGAATTGGGATAGAATCTGCAAGTTCCACAGCATTTGTAGAAATGCAGAAGTGCGGAATGTGCAGAAATGCCGAAACGACGGACAGCGACTTGATAGGGATCGATCGCCATCGGGAATGCGGAATCTGCAGAAGTGTCGAAATGCAGCATTTCTTCGGCATTTCTGCAGATTCCGCAATCCCAGTGGCGATCGATCCCTATCAATCGCTGTCCGTCGTTTCTTTCTGCACACTCCGCACTCCTGCATTTCTGCAATTCCGCGATTTGAAATCGATAGACATTTTTTTCTTCTGCAAGTTCCGCGGTTCTCCCAATTCCGCAGGTCTGCAAATTCCGCAGTTCTGCACATTCCGCGGTTCGGCATTTCTGCAACATGTATGAACGCAGCCTAATAGTTGGAATAATAATAATAATTGCAACCCTGGAAAGCAAGAGCTTGGAGTCCACGGTTGATAAATTTGTTGCCTCCTTCGAACTCCGCAACGCCAGTTGTGTGAAAGACGGTTGCACTTTATCGCGCATGTGGTAGTTCTTGTCTTTTGGCCAGTGCCGAGTACAGATGTTGGAGCTTCTCGTGTATTTCACGATATCTTTAAGTACTTTACTGCCGTCTACTTCAACCCACCGTCATACCTTCTTCGAGGTACGACAGGTGTTAAAGCTGTGGAGAGTGAATGCCGTCTGGGATCGCCTTAAGTTACCGTCATACCTTTTTTGGTACGACTTCGTTTGGCCTTTTTCAACCCAGCCATTGAGACACTAGTTGCCGGTTTCACAGTTTCACTTTTCCAATGTTACGAATATGCTGGAAAGATCACTCTTGTCGCATAGAACTTTCGGCGGCGACAGCTCAGTGTCTTGCTTCTTCAGATGCTCGTCGAAAGATAGTGCTCTTAATTGAGTGAATGCAAAACTTTTCTATAGTTCGCCTGTTTTTCTTCTTCGGTAGTAAAGGCAAATACCGCTATTGTATAGTGTGGACAGTGACGCTCAGTCGCAAATCTATAGTCTCTAAATGGCTTTCCAGGGAAGAAAAAAAGCAAAAAAACGTCATGGACTTCAAGTAAGGACCTGGCAGCTTCACTAAACAAGACCTCGGGACCAGCTCGTTTTATGCCAGCAAAGGGATATCCTGCCTCACTGGCTCACTATCGTTTCTTCGCGTCCAGAGCACGCCTGCTGTGAACGGCACTACATGGATGTCGTATTTGACCGCGAGGAGGGGTAGGGGGCGGGCTCGCAAGCGCAGGGTTTCATTCAGAAATGGGGAGAGCAGCGGTGCCTAAATGTTGTATACTAAATGATAAAAGGTTCATGGTTCTTGTTGTGGAGAACGTCTGAAGAGACCTCGGGAGACAGAGGCAATCTGCAAGCTAAGCTAAGAAGTGGGGAACAAGCGTCACAAGGAGTATTGTGGCCGCCTAGAACGGTAGTCATGAATTAACAAACGAAACCAGTATCCTTGGATCTTTCTGAACCACGCTAGCACATCTATTTGCACGGGAAACCTTACCTGGAAGTTAAAGGCAGTTGGCACGATAAATCGCTATACATATGTAGGATTTACAGGGGGGGGCAAAAAAAAAAAGACATTTTTCTTCCTTGACTTTCGAGGCGCTATAAATTACACTTTTTCAAAATCTCATCGAACTTTTTTACCACGCGTCGTATCAAATACTATCATGACACTCCGCCACAGCCTTCTGGACGAGCGCCATCGAGAGATTCTGGCACGCGACCGCGATGTGGTGCCTGAGATCAGCGAGATAGTCGATTTCTCCGCCACCGTAGACCACCCTATTGAACTCCGCCCAACCGGGTAATTGAGGGGATTCAGGTCAGGTGACCTACTTGGATATTCTACCTTCTTTCAGGTATTCAGCCCCCTTCCATTCCAGGTAGGCGGGAGTTTCTCCAACGCCCTTCGATTCCATGTGGCGCCCAATGCTGATAGCGTTCTAAAGTGTTTCCAATAAGGTACGGGGCGACCACATGTGAGGAGGGTATTCTTCACGAGTTGTCCAATGTAACCGCCAGCGCTCACCTTCAGTCCGGGGTCCACGAAGAAAATATTGGTCTTTCCATTCCAGGTACGTCCGGTCCATACCATCAACCCGCGCCTTGGCGACTGCGGTGAAGATGATGTCCTGGACCGTAGCGACGTTGCCTGAGCTGCTCGATGTCGGGGGTCTTTCAGATCAAGAGCACTGGTGTCCCGGTAGCTATCCATGGGTGGCTCCACACCAGAAGTTTCGCAACTGTTCAGAGGTGA